TATATATATATATATATATATATATATATATATAAACGTTACGTACATATAATTTATTTCGTCTGCTTGAATAAGGTCTTTCAAGGGCCTGAAGTGTTAGATGAGTCGATCTGGCCCAGTTTTTATGAGATTTCGAAAGTATTATGCTATTTTCTAGTTTGTTTTGAATCTTTCTACATAACTCGCCTTTTTACATTGATATTTTCAGACGATGCACCGATAATTCCGGCATTTCAGCTTCCATCGCAGAGGCTTTCAACGAGCACGTCTGATGTATGTTTCATTTTTTCTTTTGAATTTTAGTTGAGTTCATTCATTATTTTTAGGTTCGTGGGTCTGTACCAACAACCTTTGATAGAATTAAAAGATATGGCAGCATGCGAAGTCAAGAACTTGCTGAAACTGTAGCGAAAGTTGCTGGACGGGCGGTATTTTAGCTTGATATTGTTTTTGCTTGGGGATCGGGCTACTGACATACTTCAGTTTTTTATCTAGTTTATTTCCAAGTAACCGTATTGCCATTTTTATCATGAAGTTTTCAGGCTCCACCGGGGGCATCTACAAGTTCGACTGAAGCGACTCCTACTAGGAAATTGGTTTCTCAATGGGAGGTAACTTTATTCATTACAACATTCAGTATTTTTGTATCGGGAACAGTTGTAAAAATGAGCCGAAATTTTTAGAAATATAACTCAAATATAGAGAAGATTCAAGAAGAACAAGTGAAAGTTGCTGCGAGACTTGCTGAAGTTTCCAAAAAGGATGAAGAAATTTCGTCTGAATTAAAGAAAACTGGTATTAAATGTTATTGGTTTTGTTCTTATTTAGAAACAACTTTTACTGAAAAGTAAGATGATTATTTAGTCGCCTCTTCTGATGAAGAGGAAAATTTGCTTCAAGAGCATATGCAGTTGCTAAACGAGAAAGATGCCTTAGTAAGGAAGAGCGAATATTTGAATGTATTGGAGCAGCTTGCTGATGTCGAGCACGAAATAGCAGACTTGCAGAAGAAATTAGGGCAGACGTCTAGTTCAGAAGGTCCTTCATTTCCTTCTTTATTTCTACTTTCTGAAAAGTTTTCTTATAAATAAATTTCCAGAACCAAGAACAGAAGATGACAAGAAGTCAATTGATAAAATGATGGAAGATCTCGTAGAATTAGTCAACAGGAAGGATAAATTATCTCACAAACTCATTCAGCAAGAAGCTGAGTATGTTTTTATTTTTTCAGTGACTTTGTTGATTAAACTAGTTTTGTACATCAAACTGCTTTTGATTAAACTGTTTTCCTGCATTGAAATTACTCTAGCTTTGGTACTGATTCCTTCTCATTGGTCTATTTTAGGGATGAAGAAATGATTGATCGCGATCGGAGAACTTTGGAAGCAGCTGCTCACTTTAAAAGAGGTTTTGAACAACCAGTTTCAGCTTCCAGAAGACTCATTACGTGGTTAAAGTCAGAAATCAGAGGATGATTTGGAGCACCCTGACGATATTGTTAACTGGTTTTACCGTCTCTTCTAATTGTTTTAAAGGCGTCTTGCATTTTTTGTCACAGTGTAACAAGAAGCGGGTATCTCTGTATAAAGCTTTTTTCTTTGCCGGACGAGCGGAAGGGTTGCCTGCCGCTTGCTACTTATTGAATAAGTAGCCGAACAGTTATAGTCCTACTAAATTTTAGAAGATCTAAATAGTTTTATGCTTATGGGTACATAAAAGTTTTCGGTGATGGGATTCTGTCAAGAAAATGTTTAGGCAGGCTCGTTTACATTAACTTTTTGTTTGTTGAGCTGTTTCCCGTTATCTTTTAATTTCTTAGAATGTGTTTTCTTTGTACAGCCATCTCTTTTGAACTTCATCGTATTCAACATTGTCCTTAAGCGGCTGATATCTCACTTTGGATATTAGCTTAATACTGCTTAATGAATCTCTTGCCATGTAGCTTTCAAAATTTCTCATTTTTCTAAAAAAAGGCTGATTTTACTCACTCCTCGATCAAATTATTGTTTTTTACGGAAGCTACCGTATCGTTCGAAGTCATTTTCCGAGCCCATGACAGAAGTCTGCTACTTTTGGTTCCCAACCTTTTTTTCGCCAGTAAAATATTCTATTTGTTGAGAAATACAGTTTTTAATGTTTTTTATATTGAATAAAATCTCACCGGTGTTAAAGTATTCGAATGAATGTGAAACAGTCAGTGGCTGCTAATCTAAACTGATTCGATTTGTGTTTGATGATTTTTTTTTGCCGTTGATTTGTTGTAAAATGAATGAGATTTGTGTGTATTGTTTTTACTTTATGTTGCTTGGCGAGACCTTGATGCTTAAAATTTAAAGATTAATTATTCTTGCGACCTGCGATTCCTATCTTTAAGCTTATAAAGACTGTGGCGTGCTTTTTTTTTCTCAGAGAAGCTTATTTGTAAGCTTGTGGTCTTTGGTGCTTCAACAGTGAGTGGAAGTCGATGGTTAGGTGATGTTGTACTTGTTTACACTTTTGTTCCAGTATAGCTGCGTGGAAGTTTCGCCTAGGATGTGATGGAGGACTATGTTTTACGTCCCCAGTAAGCTGGGGGTACCGTAGTCTGTAAGGGGAAGTGAACGGCTTTGTCTTAGGGGAGATTCATTTTGTTGATTATGGTTTGGCAAGGTAGAAATACCTCTGCGGGGGTTGGAGGTCCGTCGCGTGATCTGTCACAAAGAGGTCCACGATTGCGGCCTCATAGTAAATTGGTAGGTTTTTCGAGCAAACGTGCAGTTTCTCTTCATACTGCGCTGTTAAAGTATGTCGGTTTTGTGTTAGCGCTGAAGTAGCCCTAGGGTGTTTGCCAATTAGTTTTTCGGTGATTGTTTCTTTACAAAGGGTACTCACAACCCGTTTTTTCTGCGTACACGTCTTTTACCAGTGGAAATGTTCTGCTTCTGATTTTCCTTCACCAAGCTTGCAATGCCCAAATGCCCCATTTTTGCCCGCTTTTTGTTTTATTTCGTGGAAGCCATGAAGAGGATGTTTTATCAGCTTGTAGGGGAAACAGTACATTTATTTTAGAGAACAACAGCAACGAAAGTTAAAGTTTTTATACATATTTCGGAAATTATAGAAAGAAAACATGCAGGTGTACGTATTATGCTAGAGGCTTCATAAATAGTAGGGTAATGGGTGAGTGGAGGCGCGGTGAAATATAACTAAGTGAGTACTTTAAAAGAGCCAAGGAACACAAAAGGACTGGCAGTTTTGACCTTCTTCATTGGACCAGTGGCATTAAGCGGCATCTTCAACGCCTTTATGAAGAAAGATGATTTTTCAGGAAAGTTTCTAGGTACTTTCGTTAAAAGAAGAACGTTTTTCCCCTCCGGTGCTCTTGTGTCGCATGTTCCATCAATTTCCGCCGATGATGATAAGTGCTTATGAAATCTTTACGTGAACAGGACAGTAGCAAGAGTACGTCAAATGGAAAGTAACTGAAAAACAAAAGAGTGAAGACCTACGTGTAGACTGAGAAAATATGAAATATAGTCAAGGTTAGAGTGAACAAAGAAAAGAACGTTTCAGGAAGTTTGAAAACTCGCAATGTTATAGGGATTGGAAAAGATATGAAGGTGAAGGGATTGGAGTCGTTCACAAAGTCTTAGAATATTTAAAGGTGGCAAGAGATTCAACGTCGCTATGGTACCGTGACGGTTTTCAATCCAGCTAGGGATCGTCGATCGTCTTTTTTTTGTATGTGTGTATGTGTGTGCTGT